ATGCTGCCATAATTATCAGTCACAATCAGCAATTGTCGTTGAATTGTAACACTTCTCGATCTATGTTTGAAAAGCACCTCATTTTCCCAACTTATCGTCACCCGACCCAGAAAACTATTTAATTGTAGCTTCGTTGTAGAGTAGACGGGGATAATCAAATCTTATCCATAGTGGCTTAAGATGAAAATTCGCCCACAGCTCTCTACCAAGCCAACTCCCAACTGATCAACCTTTATATTCTGAAAATGTTCCACTGCTCATCAGCATCTCTAATAGTTGTTATGCATATTAGCATGCTGTCTGTCACAGCATCAAGATCAACTCTCTCAGAAAGATGACGGTCGCGCTTTGTGCGCGATTGTGGAGTTGCGAATGCAGTGATTCGGAAGTCGTGCTTATTCGTGACCTCCAATTTTCCGAGCTGTTTGAATAAGCTTCTATTGTGATTTTTAGACAGATCCTACAGAACCCCTCACAAAGGTTTCGAAACTGGCTTTGACTGGACTAATTATTCGGAATCACTAATCCCAGAATTTGGTGGTTATGATTGCATGCTTTCCGCCTATCGAGTCAAGATGATATCGCCCGTTGTGACTGTAATCTATCCTGTCACTCCACCCAAAGACTCTCCCAAGTGGCAGTCATTGTTTCTTCCTGAGCTCGTTGGTACGCTGGAACTAAGAATATTACTTCCATAAATGCGTACCAAACACAGAGACTCTTCTTCGTACTTGAGGATCTGCGAATCGCGTGGGTGAACATCAAGCGTGCAGAAAATTTGAACCAGTAGTGGCATCGCTATTGGAAACTGAATCCAACTCAACGCGGAGGCGTCGAGTGTGGCCTATGGCTCGAATCCGTCCGTTAGATTGACAGCCTCATAGCTGTCTAATAAATAGACCGCTACGGGGTCAAATACAAAGTCATTCGACTTCTTCTTGAAAACTTTAACGAAAAAAAATTTCCGTTTCTATCTCGCCTGGCAACTTCGCATCTTCTCCGACCGAGATCCCATGGCACCCAGAAGTGCCTCCAAGTCCGAACGTGCATTCCAAGCCTCGATACCGCCGTTCGGCTCGAGATCCTGCACGGTCAGCGCCGACACGGCGCCGCCCTGCTCAGCAACTGTGACGCCCCAACTCCCTGATCGGTGGTGAGTACGACCTTCCGTGTCACTTAAACTTGTCCTCCGCGAAGTTCTGATCTTGAAATTATACGACGAGAAACTCCTTCCCATAACGCGGCCGAGAGCCCGTCGTTAATCTTCTTTGACGAGGGTTTAACCCCGACGTCTCAAGACTTTTTGACGCGAAAAGGTCGACCCACGCGTCTAACTGTCTGACGGCAGCCATACTCGACCTTTCGCGGTCCGAGGTTCTGACGCGGGGTTCGACCTCGTTCTCGGGGGGGGGGGCGGGGGCGGGGGGGGGCGGGGGGGGGCGGGGGGCGGGGGGGGGGGGAGGGGGGGCGGGGGCGGGGCGGGGGGGGGGCTTGGTTTTGACGCCGCGGTTCGACCTTGCGCTCTGAATTGGATTTCGACGCGATGCGTTCGACCACGTCGCGTCTGAGATTTGATCTGACTGGGTCACCTTCCCGTGCTAGATATTGTCTACACGCGCGGTTCGACCTTCGCGTCTGAGGCCTTCTTGTGACGCGGGTTCGACCTCTCGCGTTCTGAACTTTGTCTGACGCGGGTATCGACTTCGCATCTGAACTTTGATTTGAGTTGTCTAACTGCTTTCTTCTTTTTTTTGCAGTGCACATACCACGCGAGCCTCTTCTTTTCCGCCACACTTTGACAATGAAAGTGCGTGCAGACATGAACATAACTTTCAGCTCAGGCGTTATACTAACTCCCGGTTTTCGAACAATGAGGGAAACAGTCGCGTGGAACTCGATCACCAAGTCTTCTCAATACACTCTCCAGGACGTGCTTTCGGACGCTCCGACTTGGAAAGCCAAGCCCTAAGCCCATAACCAAACCTGATATCTTCCTTCGCGGTGGCAGCAGTCTTCACAATCTACAGTGAAAGTTACAATCTGACGGCTTTCACACCCCACAATAGCTAAAGCTAGGATTATTGAACAACGGTCCTTGCAATGCTCTACAGAAGAAGTTACAAGTCAAATGGTTCCTTCTGAAACGCGGATGTCATCCCCGCGTCACCAATTTTGAAATGACAGCGACCCTCGCGTCATCAAGGCACAAGCCAAACGTGAGCGACCATCGCGTTTAATGGTGTTCAACCAACAGTGACCCTCGCGTCATCAAGGCACAAGCCAAACATGAGCGACCCTCGCGTTTAATGGTGTTCAACCAACAGCGACCCTCGCGTCATCAAGGCACAAACCAAACGCGAGCGACCCTCGCGTTCAATGGTGTTCAGCTAACACCCAACTTCGCGTCTCAATTCAAAGAACACGAAGTTGGGTTCTGAACGCCAGATTGGGCGTTTGACTTGTTCAAACACGAGTCGAACGGTTTCAGAACCGTTTATCCCACGTTCCGAGGGATTTTCGCCCACGTAGGAGCGGATATAGGGGTCAGTTACAACCCCTTATCCCCCTATAAAAACTCAACGAACTCAACTGAGTTGGGGGTTGGATTTTTGGCATCTGAACCACAGGGGTTGATCGGATTTTTGATAATCAGATCAGAGGTTGGATTCTTTATCATCAAAACCACTCAGGTTTGGAGATTCGGCAACAACAGCAACGAAATCCTTAGAGATAGGATTTTTGAATCAGACTCAGAAGATCAAATCTGAGAGGATTCTTCGACAACAGAAAAACAGCTTGATCACTAACCGAATTTTCGGTTCCAACAACTCTTAGGAGAGACATCAGACGAGTACGCTAAAATGAAATCTTCATTAATGCACCACTCGCCCTCACTTGGTACATCATTATTACTCTCACCCTGACCCATTACATCAAAATTTAATTCCCAAGGACAATCTTCATCGGGATCTGGCTCGATGTCAGCCTCATTACCGCTGTCTACATCTTCTTTCTCTTGGGATTCCAGATAGAAGACGGAGTCGGTATGGAAGTTTTCCACCCCTCGGAAGGGGTATTTTTCTGCAATCAAGGTTCGGACTTCGCCCTCGTCATTGGCGTACTTCATGACCTGATGTAAAGTAGATGGGACAATGCGGTTTGCATGTATCCATGGCCGTCCTAGCAAAAGATTGTAGGACGTGTCTGCATCTATGATGTAGCATGCTACTTCAGACTTAAGATCTCCGATCTGGCATCTGAGCTTGATCTTTCCCAGGGGTCGGGTGCTGTTTGCATTGAACCCAAAGATAGTAGTCTGGGTGGTGTGCAGTCGGTACATAGGAATCCCTAAGACCTGTATGACCCTGTAAGGCATGATGCTGAGCGCTGAGCCTGGGTCAACTTGAACACGATTGATTTCGGAGGATCCAATATACCCTGTGTAGTACAGTGGTCGGTCATGCTCGTGCTTGACTTGCATATCTTCCTGAGTGAATGATATGCATGGTAGACTTCGCGCTGCTTGTAGGCATTACAGACAAAGTTGATCTTCAAAGGCTTCGGGAGTCGGAGTTACTCGAGTAATGAAGCTCTTTGTATTCTTCAAAGCTTCAATTAGAGCTTCCTTGGTGGATTTGGACAACCTTAGGAGCTCATATAGCGTAATTCTGGCCGGTATGTTGGCCAACTGCGCCATGACGTTGAATTGGAAGGGAGCGCTCGACTCTCCAGATTCTTGGTGGAGATTTCTGTTGAATCAGAGCTCCTTCTGTTTTCCTTTGTCCACTGGCTTTTTCGGGGCAGAACCCCCAGCGTCTTGGGGCTGCTCTTCAACTTCTGGAGCGTTCTGGCCGTAATCCCTCAGGTAAGCTTTTCCTGACCGGGTGCCAGGGTTGTCTCCTGGTATGCTGCCAGGGCAATCCTCTCCTCTTCTGAATCAGTAAGAGGTTTGAGGTGGTCATCATCCCCAGCAGAGTCACCATCTTTTGTTTGTAGGAAAAATTACAATAAAAAGAATAAAGAAAATTGATTTGTATTTCTTTGATTCCGATTACAACTTGATTACAAAAGAGAAGAGAACAAATTTGATTCTCTCCTTTGTTTAAAACTGGGTTCTTCTCGGTAGCGATGGAATGCCTCCTTCGATTGCTCGCGTCGAATTTGCTCTCCGTTGACTGTGTAAAGTTTGATGTTTAACTCTGAATGAGTTTAAGAACTCTGAACGAGTTAGAACTCTGTGAATAGAGTTGTTAGAACCGAAAATTCGGTTAATGATCAAGCCGTTATTCTGTTGTTGAAGAATCCTCTCAGATTTGATCTTCTGAGCTTGATTCAAAAATCCTATCTCCAAGGATTTCGCTGCTGCTGTTGTTGAATCGTCAAACCTGAGTGGTTGAGATCTCCCCAATCCGATCTTTGCTAACTCTTCTCTTTTCAAAGAGCCAGCCGCCAGCCCTTATCTGTTTTTAGAACTGACAAATCTCCAACCTGTACGGTTTAGATCTTTAGAATCCAACCTGTGTGGTTCAGATGCCAAAAATCCAACCCTTTGCTCTGTTGGGTTCGTTGAGCTTTTATAGGGGGATAGGAGGTTGTAACTGACCCCTATATCCACTCCTACGTGGGCGAAAATCCCTCAGAACGTGGGATAAACGGTTCTGAAACCGTTCGACTCATGTTTGAACGAGTCAAACGCCCAATCTGGCGTTTAGCACCCAACTTCGCCTCTTAGAATTGAGACGCGAGGTTGGGTGTTAGCTGAACATCATTGAACGCGAGGGTCGCTCGCGTTTTGGCTTGTTGCCTGTTTGGAAACGCGGGGGTCGGTGTTGGTTGGACCCCTACGAACGCGAGGGTCGCTCACGTTCAGCTTGTATCTTGGAGACGCGGGGGTGGCTTGGAAACGCGGGGGTCGCCTGCACTTCCCAAGTCGTAACGCGGGGATGACATCCGCGTTTCAGAAGGAGCTTTTTGACTTGTAACTTCTTCTGTGAAGCGTTGCGAGGACCGTTGTTCACTAATCCTGGATTTAGCTGTTGTAGTGTATGAAAGTCGTCAGATTGTAACTTTCACTATAGATTGTGAAGACTGCTGAATAGAGTTTTCATCAGTTGTCGGAAGTGTCGTTGAATTGTAACTCTTCTCGATCTATGTGACAAGTCCTCTATTTGCCACTTTCGATTGTCGACCCGAAAGCTATTTGATTGTAGCTTTCATTGTGAGAGCTTGACGGGAATCAACATCCATAGTGTTTTGAAGATGAATATTTGCCCACAGCTCTCTACCAAGCAACTCACCAACTTTCGATTGTCGGTGCGAAAGCTATTTGATTGTAGCTTTCGTTGTAGGAACTTGACGGGAATCAACATCCATAGTGTCTTTAGATGGATATTTGCCCACAGCTCTCTACCAAGCAACTCACCAACTAAGTCCAACCTTTCATTTCTAAAATCATTACACTGTTCATCAGCATCTCCAATAATTGCTAATATAATATTAGTCGTGCTGTTGTTGCAGCCATCAAGATCAATCATCTCAGAAATGAGGTCGTGTTTGTGGCGATTGTGGAATCGCAGATGCAGTGATCAAAAATTCGTCTGATTGTGATTTCCGTCGTCGGAGTTTGATAGGGGTCAGCTATTCATTGTGATTTTTAGACAGCCTACAGATCCCTCGAATGCTCGCGTCGAGTTTGATTCTCGTTGACGATCCGATGTCTTGTTTCACTGGAACGTGATCTTCTCCTCACGATTTGACGTTGTGGAGGACGTGCGTGGCAAGTTTGAAACTCTGAACGAGTTGATTGATCTTAACCGTAATTGGTTAGACAAGCCAAAGATCTCTTCTTTTCTGTTAAGGAGAAGGATCCAAAAGCCAGCCCGAGATCTCTTCTTTGCTGCCCAAAAAGAAGGATCCGAACTGAACTGAATTGATTTTCAGTTATTTATAGGGGATTAAGGGGTGTAACCACCTCCTTAATTCGCTCTTAAGTGGGGCTAATGGGATGTAACCGCCCCTTTAAATCACTCCTGAGTGGAGTTGTGATCCCCTCAGATCGTGGGAGACGGTTGTGAAACCGTTCAACTCGTGTTTGAACGAGTCAAACGCAAAATCCGCGTTCTGGTGTGAATTCTGCGTTCAAACGTAGTGTCTGGAAGCTGGAACGCAGTGTCTGAAAGCTCGGACGCAGCGGCTGGAAGCTGCGTTGGCATCTTGTTGGAAGCTGCGTTTGGCGGCTTGGAAGCTGCGTTTGGCAGCGGATGGAAGCTGCGTTTGGCAGCGGATGGAAGCTGCGTTGACAGCGGTTGGAAGCTGTGTTGGGCTGTGTTTGCAGCGATTTGGAAGCTGCGTTGGAGCTGTGTTTGGGCAGCGGTTGGAAGCTGCGTTGGCAGCAGTTGGAAGCTGCGTTGGGGCTGTGTTTGCAGCGATTTGGAAGCTGCGTTGGCAGCGTTGGAAGCTGCATCTGAGCTGCGTTTGTGGCTATGAACGCGGTGCGTCTTGATGCTGGTACGCGGGGAGGACTTCCACGTCTTGGTTTGAAGAGACCGTCGATTTGTAGTCTCTTTCTGTCAGAACGTTGCAAAGATCGTCGTTTTGTAATCTTTGCTTTAACTCTTTGATTCGTGAGAGTCGTCAGATTGTAACTCCTGATGTTGATTGTGGATGCTGTTGATTAGAGCTTTCATCAGTTGTTGTGAAGGTCGTCAGATTGTAACCTTCATCGATCTACGTGAAAGTCTTCAAATTATAGCCTTCTGGAAATCGTCAGATTGTAACTTCCATCATCGGTGTTTGATGGGGAATCAGCTATCTATTGTGATTTTTAGACAGCCTACAACGACATTATATCTAGGAAGTCGTGATGACACCTGACAGGTTGCTTCGGTAATAATGCCAATGAGTTACCTGTCGTTTCTCTCCTCTCCCGCGCCTAACCGCATTTAATGCGGTGTGTAGGCGTGGGAGGGGAGAGAAACGGGGGAACAACCCCCGTTTCTCTCTCTCTCTCTCTCTCTCTCTCTCTCTCTCCATTTTATTAAGTTTTTTAATTTTTTAATGGGGCCCACTTAATCAAGAACACATGAGATATCATAGAATGGTATAATTGGAATTTAAAGAAAAAATTAGGGGAGGCCCACATATGAAAGTATTGTATTTTAGAAGTTGGGTTTAAAGCCAAATACAAAAAGATAATTGAGTTTAAAGATATAAGCAATAGTCGTTGGGTTTATAGATAAAGTAGAGTAAACAATTGGGGGTAGAAATAAAAACCCCAGTTATTTATTATATTTTGTACGGTTAATGATTATGGAGATAAATAAACATCCAAATTATGAAGTAAAGACATAATTCAACAAAAGAAGATCCATAGCTTTTATTGTCAAAAAAAAAAAGGATCATAGCATATAAGAAGAAAAATAGCAATGCATAAAGTCAACATAACCCTTTCACAAAGTTTTAAGGGGGAATTAAAGAGAAGGGCGAATGTAGCTTGTTTGTGCTTGGTACCAAGCACAAATTTTATGCTTGATAGTGAGGTGACACATCCCCCTCCACTCATTCAAATAAGTGACCACATTCATATGAGTTGAGGAGTGCATGAGGATATGCAACCATTTGAACGAGTAGATGGGGATGTGACACCTCACTACCAAGTATAACTTTTTGTGATTGGTACCAAACATACCTATTTCTCTCTCTATATATATATACACACACACGCACGCTCAATGTATCTAACCAGTTATGTCTCATATCTGAATCAACAAATAGTCTATGACCAAAACAGTTTGAAATGTTTGATCGCTATGCGATTATTTCATACATAGAAATACGTTTGAAGAGGAAGGATAAAAAGAGTAATGAGAATAAAGAAAAATAATTAAGTATAAATAAACCAAGCCTTAGTGCTACATAATCAAGATCAGGTCAACGTACCTGACTCGGGTCCAAACCGCCGCTCTCCGCGTCTAGCCCAGGATAGCCTCACCGCCCCCCAACTCGTCCGCCTTCAATGGCGCCGTCGCTCTCACGTGATCCCATTGTCTTCCTTCTTTCCCAATCCCGCGTGAACCGCCGCGGTAACCTTACCTGCCCTTCATCCGCGGGGCCCACCCATGTGACTCCACCCCCCACCGACGCAAGCTGTCTTCAAATCATCACATGAATGCGATCCGCTCACTCTCCAGTAAGCTCACCCCCCTCAACGATCTCCTCTCTTTTTCCTCTCTGGCCGGTGACCGTAACCAGCTCTATAAATTCACAAATCCCATCTAAAATCCCATTAGCTTTTTTCTCTCGTTCTCTTCTTCCTCCTCCTCCTCCTCCGCTTTTGCTAACTCTAGTCTTCTTCGATGGCGAGAGCCTCCGCTTTGTTGTTCGCCGCCGTCGT